GATAGATAGATAGATAGATAGATAGATAGATAGATATGGATGGATGCATGGATGGAGATAGAGATGATATATATATATAGAGAGAGATGATAGAGACAGACAGACAATAGTAAGAATCCATTATTTATTCCTGGATGAAATAAACATTGACTGTTATCTTAAGACAATGATCAGGAAGCTGAAATTCATATACTCTGGTTTCTCTTCAGATCGTATACATCTTTCGCCTTTTCATATGCTTTGTGGGTATGATGTGAGTAGATGAAGGACAAGAAAAATTGCTGTTCTTTGTCAAGGCTGAGTGGAAAAAAAGGATAGAGGAAAAGAGATGGCTGGAAGGTCCTTGAAAGAGTTACAAATCATCACTGAAGATGGGTTGAAATTGTGAAGAAGTTCCTTGTTCAGATCAGGTTCAGTCCCAACCCCTAACATCTTACATCTACTTAACTACTCAAGCTCTGTTACCTTCATCAGACCTTTCTCCTGGATAACAATGCCTCTGAATTCAAACAAATCACAAAAAGATGGGTATCTCAAGGACTTTTTGAACTCATCTATCAAAGCCATGCTCTCTTAAGAGTCATTGCTGGACAGAAGCTGGTCAGAAGCTCCCTAGTGAGCTTTCAGGATCAAGAGAAGATAAATGATGGAGGAATCTTCAAAAGGAGGGAGGAGAGGGAAAGATCAGAAAGGGTTTCCCTCTTTCCTGCCCGCCTGCCTGCCTCTAACCTGTCTTCTTTTGAGGGACAGTCTCAACATACAATAGTTGCTAGGACAGGTGGTTGCTGAGGAAATGACGTTTCAGGGAGAAAGAAGGGGGGGAAGATGGAATGAAATTAGAGAACGTAACGGAGCCAGAAGCTAAATTGCACTCCCCCCCCCCGCCCAAATGTCTCGCCATGGCAGTCTTCTCCATCCTGCGCTGAGAACGGGGACCGAGAATAAGCCTAAAAGAACGGAGATGTGACGGTAAATCTTAGTGGTGGGTGGACAGTGGGATTCAGGGTTTCACACACTCAGTGCCATCGGTGTAGGAGTGATCTGTTGGAAAAGCACATGCAAGGCAAGTGGGCAGAGGATGAATGGGGACTGTCTTTTACTGGGTGTGTAAAATGTCTGTGTGTGATGTAGAAAAGACAGAGAAGATAAGCTGAAAACTAGCTACTAAATACCAATATTATGAAGCCATTGATGAGTGTGATCTTGTTGGAGGAGGATCTTTTGTGGGGGATTTTTGGTTGCCTGGGAGAAACTGCAGCAAATGTTAACAGACCCCACAGAGAAAAATGCTTTAATAAAATGGAGAAGACAAGCAGAGAACCCCATAAAGACCATATTTCTGTACTGTTGCTAGAGTATTTTTTTCTCTTTTATAATAATCTATTCGGAGGCTGATATCATTTTGGCTTTTCTTCAAAACAATTGTTATGATTTATGCTACTGTTATTCCTGTTTTAACAGGCATGGCCCAGATGATGAGAATGGTTTCATAGTTTTGAGATTGCACAGTGAAACTTTACCTTAAGATGAGGTTTAGGGGGGAAAAAACGGTTCACCGACAAAAGGGCGACCGACAAAAGCGTGCCCGACGAAACCGCATTGACAAAACTGCAAGTTCTAAACCGCGCCGCGAATGAGCGCTGAAGCGCGCCAACAACAACACGACGACAGAAGCGCGCTCTAAACTTAACCCTAAACCTAACCCTAAACCTGACCCTGACCCTAACCCTTACCTTAACTTAAATCGCGCTTCTGTCGGCGCGCTGTTGTCGGCGCGTTGATGACATCGCGGTTTTAGCGCCGCGGTTTTGTTGGCGCGCTTTTGTCGTGCGCACATTTGTCGGGTCACGGGAAAAAACTACTGGGTTTGTATCCAACCTTCTAGCCAACAAATTACTTTGGTTTGATTCTCCCAGTATACAAATTTATAATGTGGTTTGTTTTGTTCTGGGATAATGTTGTGTAAATGTAACTCTGGCAATTCATGAACCATATTTTCTGGCTTTTACAAATCCAGTTGGTTTATTCCACAAACCATGGTTTAGTTAGTATTATACAAAGGATTGAGTCACAGGAGGATTAAGGTTGTTGTAAAGGTTGCAAGGAATGCAATTTCTGTCTGTCAACTTCTACGTGTTAATTCCTGACAGTGAGAACTATTAATGAGTGAAACAATTTGCCTCCGGAAGTTGTATTTGCTCCATCCCTAGAGGTTTTTAAGAAGAGATTGAACAGCCATTTGTTCAAAATGAATAGGACCGTGATTGTGAACCTATGGTGTCACAGGTAGCACATGGAGCCATATCTGCCAACTGATTTTTGGCCTTCCGGAGAGCCAGGGGACGTCGTTTCCGCCCTCCCCAGGCTTCAGGAAAGCCTCCGGAGCCTGGGAAGAGCGAAAACGACCTCCCCCGGCCCCACGGAGGAAATACCAAGCTCAGCTTGGAGGTGAGGAGTGCAACGCATGTGAAGGGGGAGCGTAGGGTGGTGGGGGTTGTGTGCGCATGTGCATGTAGGGGCGCGCTTTGGATTATGGGTGCCGGCACCCGCACGCGCTATTGTGTGCGCGCCCTTGCTTTTTTGGCACTCAACAACAAAAAGGTTAGCCATCACTAGTATAGGAACTCCTAGAGCAGGGGTGGGTTGGACTAAAAGACCTTCAGGGTCTTTTCCAACTCTGTTATTCTCTCCAAGTTTTTCTTAGCAATTCAACATTAGAATAACCCCCCATTTTCTCTCTTGATGGGACCCAGGACTTTCGCATCACTCGACGTGGAACCTCAGGATGGAGCCGAAAGGGATGGCAAGCTCAGAGAAAGCTTGTCTGAAGAGCCAGACTGCTGGAGAACGGGAAGCAGGCAAGAAGCCGGACCAGAGAACCCCCATTTGTGACAAAAACATCCAAGACGCTGGAAAAAAGGACCTTGGGGACAAGGTAAAAGAGAACCCACCGCTTCCCATCCAGTCCCAGCCAGGGGTCTGCTGGCCTTGCCCAGATGGCACCTTTATCAAGCTGATCCTCGCGGCCGGGACAGGTTTAGATAAACCGAAGGAAGGGTCCATCTGCCAAGTCTTCATCGAGGCCAGTCACGAAGGGCCCTTGAGCTACCCGTCCTCCAGGTGGGCCGAAGTGGAGCTGGGTGGGGGCGACGCCGAATGGGACGGTGTGGTGGACCGTGGTTTGGAAACCATGCTGGCAGGGGAGCGGGCTGAGCTGAGGTTGTCAGAGGGCAGCACCATCGCCGTCCAGTTGGCGAGCTTCACGGAGGCCAAGGACTCTTGGGAGATGAGCGCAAGCGAGAAGTGGGACTTGGTCCTTAGCAACAAAGACCGCGGCAGTGAGCTATACAGGGCGGGGGCCATTGCTGCGGCTGCCAGGCGCTACGCTAGGGCCTTACACTTGCTTGTGGTGGCTGCTCCACCCCCGGATTATGACCAGATCAAGGCGGAGCTTCACACTAACTTGGCCGCCTGTCAGCTACGGTTACACCAGCCGGCCAACGCCGCTCAAAACTGCTCCAAGACTCTTGCGCTCCAACCGGCCAACCCCAAGGCCTTGTTTCGTCGCGGCTTGGCCTATGATGCGATGAACGATCTGGAGGGGGCGGCGCAAGACCTCAAGGGGGTTTTGCAAGTAGAGCCAGGAAACCGAGCGGCTCGCCGGGAATTAGAAAGGGTTACTGAGAGGATCCGGGCCCGGGATGCTAGGCTGGCTCAAGCCATGCAGAAAATGTTTGCTTGAATAAAACCGTTTGACTGTGTCAGCGTTTGGGAGTCGCATTTTCATTGTGATTCAGCGGAGCAAGCGGAAAGAAGAGCTGGTGCTTGACAATATGAGCTGCAATGGTGCAATGATTGGAACGTAGTATTGCAGGCTAACTCCACTGACTGTTGGGAGTTCGATCCTGACCTGCTCAAGGTTGACTCAGCCTTCCATCCTTCTGAGGTCGGTAAAATGAGGACCCGGATTGTTGGGGGCAATAGGCTGACTCTTTAAAAGCCCCCAGAGAGGGCTGTAAAGCACTATAAAGCAGTATATAAGTCTTAAGTGCTATTGCTACAAAGTTTGATGGCTGGACAGGATGATCCTTTGGTGTCTTTGCCTCAAATCAAACACCATTTGTCTTTATCACTCCGACTTTATTACCTACAAAAAAATAAGACTGAATATGGGTAGTCCTCGACTTATGACCACAACAGAGCCCAACATTTAGGTTGCTAAGTGAAGCATTTGTTAACTGAGTTTTGCCCCACTTTACAACTTTTCTTGCCAAGTGAATCACTACAGTTGTTAAATTAGTAACATGGTTGTTAAGTGAATCTGGCTTCCCTATTTTGGTCACAAAAGCTGATCACATGACCCCAGGGCACTGCGGCCGTCATAAATATGAACCAGTTGCGAGCATCCCAATTTTGATCAGGTGACCATGGGGATACTGCAACGGTCATTAAGTGTAAAAAACGGTCGTAAGTCACTTTCCAGTGGTGTTTTAACTGAATGGTCACTAAATGAAATATTGTAAGTTGAGGACTACCCATATTCACAGAATATCACACACAGACTTGCTATGTAAGTATGAAATTGGCCCTTTGGCGTTCCAGTTCCTCTTAATTTTAAAATTAGCGCATCTTTAACCCTAATGAGAAATAAGTGAGTTGCAATTAATGGAGGAAGAATGGAGTTATTTTCCTAACTAGAGGCAACCCCCATGGCGCCCTCCGTCCTCACCCGCAGCCTTACTGCAGCGCAATGGCTTTGCTTTCAATGAGCACAAGACAGGAAACATTAGGAGGCCTGCAAAAATTCGAAGGTGGGAAACTGAGTACTGTATTTTTCGGACTATAAGACACACCGATGTATAAGACGCACCAAGATTTCGAAGAGGTAAGTAAGAAAAAAAAATTGTCCTCCCCAGCCCCCAGGAGGACTCTGCAGTCTTCAGCAGGGCTGGGGGAAAGCAAAAATGCCCCAATTTGTGCGAAAAACAGGTGGAAAATGGGCCATTTTTTGCCAAAACGGGGGCGTTTTTGCCTTCCCCCAGCCTTGCTGAAGCCTTCGAAGTGCTTCTGGAGGCTGGGGAAAGGCAAAAATGCCTCCGATTTGTGTGACAGAACTTCAGAAGGCCAAAACTGGCTGTATTCAGTATATAAGACACACCATTTCCACGCTCTTTGGGGGGTGGGGGGAAGGGGGTGTCTTATACTCTGAAAAATACTGTAGTTTTTTCTCTTCCCAGTCAGAAACCACAATCCTGATTGTGTGATTTTCCATCTACTTTGCTTAGCAGCAGACTTGTCAGTCCCAATTAGGGTCATTAAGTCAGGACTTACCTGTGTTTATACAATGGAACTGAATTCTGGAATGGACAACATGAAGCTGTTAGGCTTCCAAGTAACACCCCCAATGAAAGAGGACTCCGAAGTTTGAGATTCCTCAAAGTTCCATTTTATTAGAGATGTCATATTGACACGTCTGGGAAAACCCAAATCTGAAAGCTGCCAGGTTTTTCCCCACCCAAGTGAAAGTTCAAATCCCTACCCAGCAATCCGTCACATGGTCCAATCAGGCACCATCCAAAATTGGCAATATCGCTCAGTAACCTCATGGCAGCTGCAGGGCAAGATGTCCTTGACTCTCTGAGAAAAGAATGTTATTTTCACTATACGTCACCCACACTCCGTATAATCCCTCCTCCCATTTCCCCACAGTAGAAAATGTGGCAGGCCTGAAGGCCCAAATGTAAAAGATGGCTTCCAGGCCTGACAGAAGGTGGATTGTCAGATACATCCCTGAGATGACGAAGCTGTATCTCGGAAGGAAGGAAGGCCTTTCAGAAGGACTTTTTACCATGCAAAGGCAAGGAAGGAGCACTGAATGAACTGCCTCGTTACAAGTGGAGATACGACAGGCAGGGTCTGATTGCTGTAAAACACAGGTGTCAAACTCAAATTCATTGAGGGCCGTATCAGGGCTGTGGTTGACGCTGGGCGGGCGTGGTTAGCTGGGTGGCCTGCTTGACACCACTCCCTAAACTGCCGACATGTTTCCTCTTTGCACTGGCAAAGAGCCACACTGATCCAATGTTTCCTCTTCATATTGGGTAGACTGGGGAGAAGCGAAGCAGGCTGGCCCCTTACATTTTCCAGGATGGCTCTGCGGGCCAGATCTGACCACATCAGATGGGTCCTTGAGTTTGACACCCCTGCTCTAGAACCTATGAAAAATATATAATGAAAAATACAAAATTGTCAGAGCTGCTGGATCATTTAAAAAATGAGCCTTAATCTAGCAAGGCTTTTGTAAAACCATTGGAAGTTAAGTCGGGGAAGACCAATAACATTTCCCCTATTCCTTCTTTACACAACTCAGGCTCGAAGCTTTACGTACACTATGTGGTGACTCTGGGTTCACGCTGGACGAGTACAAAGGAGGAATTTTATGGGAGACTTTGTACAGAAGCCACAGTCCTCAAAGTATTCGCCCTTATTTTAATGCAGAGGTGTGGGTTTTTTTCCCCAGACAAATTTCTCACTGTTTTCAGTTGTGAAGATTAGCAAGAAAACACATTGCTTTGATAAAAAATCACAGGAAGAGCAGATAAGGCTTAAAGGTTTGATGGGGATTTGGGCATCTCCCAGTTAGATAAATTGGACTAAATTACTTACTTTTTAAAAGCAAATTGGCCCATTAGAGCAGGGGGTCACCAACCTTTCGGACCGCAGGGACCACTAAATTCATAATCCCATGGTTCCCTTGTATGAATTAGTGACTGAAGGATGGGGTCTTTCAGGCACTCAGCTTAGCCACTTGTTAGCGGAGAGAAGCGCCCAGGATCAACTCTAGGTTTGCTGTCCATTGCAGCTGGGAATCTCAAATACAGCCAAGAATGAATGTTTGTTTTGTAGCCAGCCCAGGCGTTAGATCGGCCCACTGCAAACTCTGTCTTTCAAGGATCCTGGACAAAGTTTCAAGCACTGTTCACTTAAGTGCCTGGAGTTACAAAACAGGCAGCTAAGTAAGTGCCTGAAGGACCGCATCCCATCAGTGAGTGAGATTAATTGCTTCAGCGGTCCGTATCCGACCCAGGGACCATAGTTTGAGGATCCCTGATTTAGTGTGATATAAAAAAATGCAAAGATTTATCTGCGGACCACCAAAATTTTCTCATTTACCACCAGTTAGTGATCGCTGTACTAGAGCACAATCTTCATGCCATTTGAAGGAGAAGGAAAGAGATGCTATTTTGAAAACTGGCATCTTGGAAACAAAAGTAGTAAACCGTATGCACATTTATATACCATAGGCAGAAATTTGGAAGTGGCACTCGCTTGCAAGGCGAGGAAGGAATATGAATATTGCAGAATCCTTATTTTTTTAAAAAACAAAAACCTTGCAGGTGTGACACGCAGCTGGAGATTCTGCTGTGGTGGAGGAAAGCCAAAATCTCCCACCCTTCTTGCTATTATTATAGGTTTCTCTCCTTGCTTTTCTAGGGCTGTCACATGCCCAGCGATCGCTTTAAATCCATATCCCTTTTTTTGCTGTTTCTAAGCAACCATCTCCTAAGAGACTGCAGAATTTGGGGATTGTAAACCAATGGAGGGGGGGGAAGGAGGTGAGAAACGATTGACCGGGGTGAGAGAAAGGCTATCGAACCTTCCACTTGTAAATACAATTACATCAGATGCAGGGAATCAATCAAATGTCTTTATTGACAGAGATTCTGTAACCATGTCACTTGCAAACAGAGATAAGAGTATAGAGTCCAACATCCAAAGAGGTGGGGGGGGAGGGGGAATGAATAGGAAGTTCATATGATAACGAGATTTGGCACAGATTGGAGAGAACAGGAGGCCTTAAAAATACAAAGGAATGCAAAAAAAAATTCTGTAGGGAAGCCCCCATGCCTGAAACGCACCGTGTTGCGTGCCCATTAAACCAGCCAATCGATTTTGGCTGATGCAACTTAGAAACGATCTACTTTATTAATCAGAACAAGGCGTGGTGTCAAGTCTCAATTGTCTCATGTCCATTTGTTAAATTAAAGGAGCTCTTTCTGTAAATTGTTCTCCCTTGTTTATATCAAACTACTTGCATGTAAATAAACTAGCACCTCAAAAGGAACAGTATTTTCGTCTTTCTTCTATGCTAATTTACTACCTGCATTGTCATTCATAGAAAAAAGTATTCAAAAATATCACTTATCAATACCATTCACTTCCAGGTGGAAATAAGGTAAAAGATTCTCTCACTGTTTCTAGTGGCATCAATTTGCATGTCCCAAAAGTGATGGATTACATATCATTGTTTGATTACAGAACATAGGTGTGGGTTGCAATTTTGAGTATTTTTCCCAAATCCCTCCCTGATGAAAAACTAGTTGGTAATAATAGCCAGAATAGCTCACTCCTTTCTCTTGGCTTGCTACAGCGAGTCCTCAAGTTATGACCGTAATGGACCCTACTCATCATGGCCATAAAGCAGATCAGTCACACGACCAATTCAAATTTTTTTTTGTAAGCCGTAAGTGGAGGACTATCTCTATTAGGCTGTTCTGTGGATCACATATTTTTTTAAAAAGTAAGCCTGAGGTAGGTTAGGGTGATTGATGATCAGACAAGTAAGTGTGGTAAGCCAAATAAGGGTCTAAACTTTGTCTAAATCTGGTTGCCTAACATGTTACCTTGGCGCTACTTGCTGATTAATATTTAAAAGCCGGGGACCAAAAATATATTATTCCCACTTCTTTTGATCTGTAAGAGTGTAGTCCATCCTATTGTCTCGTCACCACGTTGAGTAGGCCTTACTCTTATTTAGCATATGATGCTATAAAAGCATCTAATCCGGAACCCTTCTCTAGATTTTCTTCTAGGTTGGATATTACCTGGTCCTGGAAATGGCCCCACTGGACACCCCCATTTATTAATGGACACTTGGATCTTTTGCTGCCTCTTTCATCCTCCAATTACTTTACATCTCCTCCCCCCTTTCTGTCTTCTTGATCAGCTAGATCTTGCTATGTTTTCTGCCATCATTGTGCTGGCTGCTATCGAAGTATTGATACTATCAAATAATTGTCTGGTAGTTCTTATTAAGTCCCTTTAGTTACCTTTCTTTCTTTCGTGGTTGGAAGTTTACTGTAATGTGCCTTGCCTAATTGACCCTGGATATCAGCCAGTAGCAAAAGAGTTGGCTCTCTGAGTAAAAATCACTGAAAGGCAACAAAACTCTCTAAGCCCCTCTGTTAAGAAAATGGCGAGGATAAAATGTAAAAACGTGGATTGCAGAGTGTGGAGACAGATGGGATGAAATCAAACTTAAGTACAGAGTTTGTTTGTTTTTTTAAAAAAACAACAACTTTCAGAGTCTTCTCCAAGGAAGAAATGTTAGAACCCTGGTGCAAAATGAAATGTATAAAAAGAGTGATGCTTAAGCCCTGCAAAAAAGAACTTAAAAAAAAAAACAGGCTGTGGATTATACTTTGCATGCTTACCGAATGGAACATTGCTAAACAGCGTATGAAAATATATGCCTTCCTAATTACGGACGGTGATTTGTTTCACTTGGCTTGAAAGCAACGGTTCCTTTCTCGCCTCAGATAAAACGGGGAGATAGCCAATCAGGCTCTCCAAAAATACTGGGTGCCTCTAGCTATTGCAAAAATGGAGAAAGGGAAGCAGCCGATGAAAAGAATGATGGGGGCAGAGAGACAGGGCTTTATCCAAGACTGTGCTGGCACCCCGGTCCATACAAGGGCAGCACTAGGCATGCAAACACAGCGGGAGGAAGATGGTTACTTCTTGGTCACAGAAGGCGGAGCCTACTCCTCAGGAAGGAAGGAAGCAAGCAACGTATTCTGGGAAAGGAACGGACGGAGGACAAGCAACTTTGCTAGGAGCCTTAGCTTTATGGAGCACGTCTGAATGGCGTCACCTGGAAGTCATTTTGCTGAGTCGGTACGGCTAGCAAGGCCAACAACAGCCAAGGACGATGGGAGTGGGCGGAGAGTGGGTGGAGAAGGGTTGCCAAGCATTTCGAGTGTCGTCGGCAAGGGCGAAGACAGGGGAGAAGGAGGGGAGGCGGTTGCCAAGGACCATCCCTGCGGGCGGCTGTTGCCAGGGCGGTTGTGACCAGTTGTCAGGGTGCAGGAGTAGGCCGAAGACAGGCGATTGGTCGCTAGGGGTCCCAGTCGTTGTCATGGTGCTGAGCGGCAATGATGATCACCACTGTAAGGATGGTGCACAGGACCATGGCGGCGATGCCCACCGCCAGGCTGATGAAGGAGAAGTTGCGGGCCTCCCGGGAGGCAATTTCAGCCGATACGATGTCGCCGCGGGCAACTGCAGTCCGCACCTGGCGGAGAGAACAAAGAGCGTGGGAACAGGAGGAGAACCCAGGCGCTCCAGCTGCAAAGCACGTTGGGCACATGGCACAATAGACGCCTCCCCATTCACAGTATCTTAACCCGTTCTTCAACAAATGGAAAAAGCTAATGTGCAAAAGATGAAGAATCATTTATAGACGGCAGGGAGGGGAATATGCTCTTCTGTGCCTTCCTCTCAGACTCCCCTCTTACACGAATCCATTTTTATCTGTTTTATTTATTATTTATTTTTATAAATAACTCAAGGCAGCGAACACAACTAATACTCCTTCCGCCTCCTATTCTCTCCACAACGACAAAAAATCTGCAAGGTGGACTGGGCTGAGAGAGGATGATGGGGGCCCAAACTCACCCAGCTGGCTTTCATGCCTAAAGCAGGACTAGAACTCACAATCTCCCGGTTCTAGCCTGGTGCCTTAAACCACTACAGCAACTGGTGTATTAATCTCACTTCATCACAGGAATGAATCTTCCTCTCTGGAAATTCTTGCTACCATTTTAGTTTTCCTTGTGAGGAAGCTTGTGAGGGAGGAGGACAGTTTCCTGGCTGTTTACCTACTCTTCACTTTAGCAGCCTACAGGGGGTCCTCAGCTTAGGAACGGAACTCAAAATTTATTTTGCTAGGTGACACAGCTGTTAAGCGAATTTTGCCCCATTTTATGCCCTTTCTTGCCACAGTCCTTAAGTGAATCACGGCAGCTATTAGTTTAGTATACAGTTCCTAAGTGGATCTGGCTTCCCCATTGACTTTGCTTGTCAGAAGGTCGTCAAAGCGGAGCAGGTGACCCTGGGACAGTGCAATCGTCATAAATATGAATCTGTTGCCAAGCATCCAAATTTTGGTCACATAATGCTGCAACGGTCATAAGTGTGAAAAATGTTCTTCACTTTTCAGTGATGTCACTTTTTTCAGTGATGTCACTTTGAACGGTCGCTAAATGAACTGCTGTAATTTGAGGACTGCATGTACATAACCCATCCTCCTATTTTTTTTTCCCCTACCCCAAACTTGCAAAGCAGTCTTTCTCAGCCATGGTGAGGTAAAAGATGTGTGATTTCAACTCCCAGAATTCCCTAGCTGGTATGATGACTTGGGGGATTCTGGGAGTTGAAGTCCACACATCTTCACGCTGACAAGATTGAGAGAAATGATTGTAAAATACGTTCAGCTGAAAGAGAAGGACCAAAATGTGGGTTTCCCTTCTCCAGCACCAACACCTTCATCACTGAGGATGAGGAGGAACTGGCCCAAAACCCCTCATGGAAGTTTGATGGCTCTCCCCATTTCTAAACCAGCACCTTCATCTTTTTTTCAGCTTCAGGTCTGGGAGAAAAGAACTGGCTAAAAATCCCCATTGAAATCCAAGTTGAACTAGAAACTGTGTCTTCTCAATCTTAGGCCTTCACCACTTCCTCACACAGTTGTATGAAAGTGTCTCTGGTCATATGGGAAGCCTTGAACTTTCTCCTACGGCCTCTCAGTTCTCTGCCTTTGATAGGAGAATCATGTTTGTGGTGTTCAATGGACGAGTAGCTACAGATAGTCCTCGACTTACAACGGCACTGAAAAAAGTGACTTAGGGCCATTTCCCCACACACTTACAATCACTCCAGCATCCCCATGGTACCGTGATCAAAATTCAGATGCTTGGCAACTGGTTTGTATTTATGACGGTTGCCATGTCCCAGGGTCACGTGATCTGTTTTTGCAAGATTCTGACAAGCAAAGTCAATGGGGAAGCCAGATTCAGAAAACAGAATAACAGAGTTGGAAGGGACCTTGGAGGTCTTCTAGTCCAACCCCCTTGCTTAGGCAGGAAACCCTACACCACTTCAGACAAATGGATATCCAACATCTTCTTAAAAATTCCCAGTGTTGGAGCAGTCACAACGTCTGGAGGCAAGCTGTTCCACTAGTAAATTGTTCTCGTTGTTTAGGAAATTTCTCCTTAGTTCTAAGTTGCTTCTTTTCTTGATTAGTTTCCACCCATTGCTTCTTGTCCTGCCCTCAGGTGCTTTGGAGAATAGCTTGACTCCCTCGTCTTTGTGGCAGTCTCTGGAACATGTCACCCCTAGTCCTTCTTTTCAGTAAATTAGACAT